AAATAAAAGGGAAAGGGGAAGAGGGGAAAGAGGGAACCGGACGGCGGGCGGAACTTACTGTCAAAGGTTCGCTATCTTGGGCCAACCTCCATCGTGAGCAGCTGTTGGCTAACAGCTGCATCCCGACAACAAATTGAAAGGCTTTTTTCTGTTCCTTCTCACATGTGGGGTGAACTTAGGTGAACAGGTTCTTTACTCTGCGGAAAAATTCATTTTATAAACATCCCTCGGAGGCGAAAACGCTTTGCTTGGTTTCATGGGAAAGAAAAGATTGCCTTTTGAACAGAAAAAGTATTTAGCTATTTGTCTTCATGGTTCGAACAAAAGGGAACCTTACCTAGCAGGCTTAGCTTTTAGCTATTATTTGGTTCCTAAAACTTTTGAGAATGAGCTAGAATTTTTTTCCCTGCAAATCCCCATCGAATCTGAATCATCAGGATAATACTTGGCAAAAGAATTTTGTAATTACGAATTAGACACTAATTCCTATAACGTATAGCGTGAATCATATATGGTTCCCACCATTCATAGACCTTTTTAAAATAAATGTGTCATGTGAGTATGCAGCAGGAATACACAATACCGTCGTCGCCGACAATATGTCTCCCTGCCAATAACAATGTTTTCAATGCTTGCATGGGATTCCTCATGGTTGCAGAAAAATTCATAACGTTTGCCGCGAGATGTACTTTGCGCCGCGTGTCAATCTCTTATTGTTGGGGAAACCCCTGCTGAAAGTTCAGCGGAGGGGCGTGGTTTCGGGCGTGTAAATAAGTACGACAGAACCGCGGAAAGTGTGTATCACTAGTGCCGTCAGGTATGGCCGCTTTTTGTTGGCGGCAGAAAGGCATATGGGACACAAAAACTGCAGCTTCTTCTTCCACCGCCTCTTTTCCTCCTCCTCCTCTTTCCCCTCCATTAACCTTAGATCCATCAAAGTCTCAGTGATCAATTGAGACAGTTGTCGTAAAATTTGCTCCTTAATTTCAAACTGCGATTAATCTCTATCAACTTTTTGTTGTTCGTTGTTTGCGTTGTTATAAGGGTCGCTCATTCTCAGCTTTTTCATATTTCGCGCATAATAGACTTCTGCTTTGGCAAAGAGATGAAAGTTCAAATTTTCACGCGGTACATTTCCCTATTTACCATCCGCTAAAGTTCAGTCTCTATGTTGTCATTGGAGCCTTTTTTCGAGAGTGATGTGATGTGTGTCTATGAGATCCGTAAAGGTGGGTTTGACAACTCACCAGTCGTCTACCCTATTCCATCCTTCTTTCTAGTATCTTCGAAAATCATGAGACTAAATGCCCTCAAAAGTTGAAACAATTTTTTTCTAGGCGATTGAACACTCTTTCGAACATTTTTCAAAAAATTTTGCCTAAGGTTTTTACACAGTTCTGTCATTCCTAGCAACCTTTGTGTTATTTTTTTAAATACCAGGAGAGTAGTGGGGCGTCATAAATGTTTCTTAGCTCTTCCTGCTCTTAGTTCACATCTGCGTTGAATGAGTTTGAAAATCATTCTTTCTCATAACACTCCTAGCACCTCAAAAAGAATGAAAGTCTGAAAAGCTGGGTGTGGTCCCTTATCAGACAATCTGGAACTTATCATGTGTTGACAATCGTGTCACATGTGATCATAAGTTCTACCAAATCGCAAAAAATCCTTATGGTAGCAGAATCGTGTGACTCATAGGGTTTGAAAGGGTCTGTTCGCCTTCTGTGCTGCTGATCACCTATGCTCCCTCCGTTCTCTCTTCTTTTCTTTCCTAACTCTTCTCCTGCGTGGAAGTCGTTTTAGGGCAATCACACTCTACGCTAATCATATATTAAGAAAGGCCGACAATGCTTACTCTCATTTTCTGTTCAATGTCTTTGTGCTTTGCTTTTTGCGCAAAGAGAAAAGATGCTACTCTACGCTTTCAACCTTCCCACTGGCTTCTGCTTTTCGAAGTTTTGCAAAAATATCGCTTTTTTTCCTATTCGCAATCCGATTTATGTACTTTCTAGTGTCGGAAATGAACGTTTCTACAGTCTCTTAACGCCTGCAATAAATACGTTATTATTATATAAGGTAATTGTTTTATAGACCCACATCATAGTTCTTTTTTGAAAGTGTATTTTCTTTTTCGCTGGCGTATCATATGGCAAATGGCGTAAACAGAACATATCAAAGGTCTTCGTGAGTGCTACTGAATTCTATCCCATGGTTGAGGACATATATTGCTTGAGATCCTTAAAATGTCTCTTGTCTCAACAACACACCCAGTTTCTGTACTCTTTGGTTTCTGTTTCTGTCCTTTTGATTACTTTCATGGCTCCCAATCGTGATCTTTTTGCTTAGATGTGACCACTTACTTTTATCGGTGACGTGCTGCTCTGCTGTCACTTTCTGCAATTTGCTGACAAGGAATGTGATAAACAAGTTTTGGCACCATTTGATAAGTGGGCATTCTCTACCCATTTCAATCAGTCAAATTTGCAAGATATTGCGTCATCAATTTGCAGTAATTTTGCTATTTACGGCGTTTTTTTGACACATTTGAGTCATTTATGCAGTGCTAAACTTTTCCAGTATATTTTCAGAAAGCTTTGTTACTGGATAAATAGTCACGATTTGTTACTTATGAGGAAGCTATGTGAAAATGCAAAATTTTACACCTTATCCTTCTGTTTGCTACTAAATACATTTTCAAAGCTTTTTTAAAATAGAAACCATCTTTTTTGTACTTATAGCAAGTCTGTGTATCAAACAAACGCTCTTCAAATCTTCTGTTTACCCTTTGGACTTGTTTTTTCTCTGATATAAAATCTCTAAACAGCTGTTCTATTCAATCATCGTTATATTTTGCGTGCTGCTGACAGTTACAGCTTCTGAGCATGTGAACGTCTTCGGCAAGCCCTTCAGGGTTCTGCTTACTTCATGAGTTTCCCTTTCACCACTTCCTCAAGGAATTCCTAGTTCGCACTGCCTTACACGGGAGCTCGTGCTCTACGAGCTTTTGTTGTGCTCGATGTACTTTTTTTCTGGAAGGATCTGTCTCGTCTAGTACATAACTGGCTCGTGTACTTCTTTTATTCTTTCTGGAAAGTGTCATGAGCTGTTTATATGTTGAACTCTTTATACATAGTGCAAGCCGGATGCATTTATTCTAGTCTGATATCTATTTTCATAAATAGCTGTGCATCTTTTGGCAACATGAATCAATCACCGAATGTCTTGTAAAAGTGGTTGAAAGACTAAGTCCACTTTGTCTTTTCCAACCTTTCTTCCTTCTAACCACTTTATTCTGTTCAGACACAGTATTGAAAATACTAATGATGGTGAAAATTTTTTCCAACCTTATTATAATTGATTTTTGATAGACTTAAGTGGCTTTGTACTGTACGTAATTAGTGTGGAAATATCGTAAACAGTTGTTAAGATGGACAATTAGTTTCCACGATTTATGTAGGAAAATAGAAAAAAAACGCCTACGAATTTTTTTCGCATACACATACAAAAAGTTGAAACTGTCGTGTTGCAAATTACTTGTTATCCCTTCCAGATTTTTTATTACAACTTTTATTGCCTTTGCCTTCGACTTTCTCTGCGATTGACAGTCGTTCATTTGCGTCGTCTTTGATGTGCAAACTTTGGGCATACCGTGACTTCACAATACTTAAATCATTTATACTTGTCGTGAGCGCCTCGAATATAGAGAGTCTATAGCCATCAAATTGCGAAAGTTACAAAGTCGCGTGGCTACCAAAATCGTGCGAGATATCCTCAGCTTTATACTTTGAGGGCGATTAAATTCAGTCTATGATCCTTGCTGATACTCCAGAATAAGTCTGTTATTTCGTCACACCATCAGTCTTGATCCATCGATCATTCTTTCCAAACTAATAATAGCCTTTTGTAAAAAATCGGATGACTGAAGTTTACAGCACTTCCGATATGTCTGGTAAAGGGCAAGATTTGCACCCAACAAACAAAAAGTTGCGTACTTTGATGCCATCTGAAAACAATTAGCAGCGTTTGTTTCACGTCTATGTCAGCTGAGTCATTTTACCGTCTGAATGTTGTTTTTAGAGCGTAGCGATCGCTCTTTGCTATTACGTCGTGGAAAGTAATCAGAAGTTTGAGATGCAGAAATTGAGCTTTCAAACTGTCATTGCCCAGCTGTCTGCACTTGTGTATTAGCTCCCAGCTGAAGCGTCGTTGCAATGTTCGCATCTCTTGAGATTTGCTGCAGCGCTGATGAATTTCCATAGGACTGTGCATTCAATCTTTGTTTAGCGGGATTGAAGGACGTAGTTCTGCGTGCCACAACCTTCCTCAGTATCCTGTATCTGTGTGTAATCAAGCTGCAGATCTAGGCGAAACATTTATCACGTGTTACGTCTCCTGTTAAGTCCATATAAATTTCCCGTAATTCCATCTCGGATAAATTCAGCAGCAATATATCGCTTTTATGCCGCTTTCATAAACTCTGAAAGATCGCATTGATGTCGGGGCCGATGACGACGGCGATGAGCTCGTCGCACAGGGGTGCAAATGCCGGTGAGGGCACACAGCTGACTCCTGCGGTAAAGGCTTCAAGGCTGCGTGCGTACTCGAGGGCTCCTGAGGGCTGAAGTTATCATGATGAAAAACATTCTTAAAACCATACAGATGAAGTGGGGCGCATGGCCCCAGAAGCGTAAGGCCGCTCTCGTAGCGAAGGCGCAGACGTGCTACCAAATGTTTGGGAGCATCTTTACCAGAGAATGCTTTGAAAGAGATGATGTCTGTTTTTTCTACGTCCATTAAAATGCTCTTTCCCTTTTTTCAGCATTACATACCTCTACAGAGCTCGTATTGCTTCGAGAACATCTATGCGGCTATGAAACCGTAGCCGATCATATTTTGAACTCCGATTGTCGGGTTTTCTTTTGCGTCTCGCTGATGTCATTGTTCGCTTAGAGATCGCTTCGTATAACGCCAGGTCTGTTCGTAAAAAAAGTCCGTGATTACAGATGACAACCGCAAATCCACAACAAAGACAGTTTGCGTTGTTTAGTAAATTTAGCATTGAAGTGCGGCCACCACCAATGTTACGACGAGATGAGCGAATTCGATCAATGACGTGCTCTTTTGAAGAAATTGCTGAGTCAGAGGAGGAGGAGGATATGCAGGTGAAAAGAAACTGGTCAAATTTTATTGAAGAAATATTTTACTGAGTTTACTTCAAAGATATTGCAAAAATCCATAGTGCCGTTTTTGTCAAAAGTTCACCAAATATATATCAAACCTATATCGAACCTTGCTGATAGATTCCATTAACAGTTTTTCCAGCTCCCAGAACGAACATCACCTAAAGGGCGTTCACCCTTTGCCGTCATAGGCGAATCGCCATTTGCCGAAAGACGCGCAGCCTCTCCGCAGAGCCAAAGCCCAACCTATGCGAGGTACGCAAATGCGCTACAGCGAGGAATCACGGTAGCACACTGTGTACAATGTATCCTCTCTAGAAAACTCGGTGCACCTCGACTATGTCGTGGATATTCGGATCCAGGTCTATGTCATCGACGAGCTATGTCTGCATCTTTGAGTCCAGATCGACATGATGCTGGAACGGATCTAGCAAGTAAGTATTGGTCGAATCGTCGGAAGATTTTTTGAGACTTTGAAAATTTTGGCACTTTGCTTGATAAATAGAAAACTCCAAAGTTTTGTTTTCTCAAAACGAGAAAGTGCAAACTTTGAAGAATAAACTTATAATACATGAATACATATATATTTTTTTTTTCAGACCTTCCACCGATTCCCGAAACAACCTCATCGTGATCTGTTTATGATACTGATTGTGAGACCCATCAAAAAGCCGGAGCATAATCGAAATGTTTTTTTATCGGCTTAGATTTCAGCTGATATCAGTTGACAACATTGGATGAATGTGAATTTTTACTCTATGAGAAAATCAACTACTACACATAACGACGAATGCCTCTTGATCATTGCTCTTGAAAAAATTTTTAAATCTACCCCTAGTCTATTTTGTCAATCAGCCCACCAATGACAACGAATTCTTTACCTCTAAGATCTCTGACTAGTCTCTTAATGTAATAATTTTTGCATATCTGATTATGTATTTTTGTCAGTGCATTGTTCGGGTTTTAACTAGAGCCTTGATAGTTTGTGAACGGGTCTATAATTGAAGAACGTGATTTTTACGTACTTTCAATAAACTTTTGGACTAGTATGTTTGTAACCTTACCGGTAAATTTGATTTTCCCTTTGATTTCGAACTTTTACACTGTTCGCTTCTCGCAGTTTTGCGTGCGCATCATCTGCTGCCTGTATAAATATCTAGCAACTCTTGTGCTAATAATTTGAGAGCGGACATCTGCAGTCAATGTGCAAAAGCTAACAGAAACAAGGTGCAAATTTGTTGACTAACTGCTGAAAGAAATGTGCGATATGGATAGTTGTTTGTGCTTTTTCCACAATGCAGGTTTCTCATAAACTTCTGCAAACATAGCAGACATTGAAAGAGTAATATGATCACGATCGGATTGCTGCTGCTGAGTCAATTCGAGAAGAATCCGAATGCATTTCACCAACATATATGTAGTGTGGTTCAAGTAAAATTGCTAAAAGTATGGATATTCTGAGTGATTGATGCAATGTGATTTGAATTAATGCGAGGCTATATAAAAGTTACAACAATTATGCTTTTCTTATAGCGCAATCAGCTTCAGCTATTTTCACAACGCTATTTTTGGTATTTATATGCTAAGAAAATATTCTCATGTAAGCTGATGATTTTATAATCTTTCTTCCTCTGCTCAAGGCGTTTGTGAAATACACATGTCGACCAGAAAAATCGAAGGCACCATTCACTCTAAGTTAGTGGGTGGTGCCTTTGATTTGAATTAATGCGAGGCTATATTTGGCGAGGCTCTGTTTTTAAGTAGTCGACCGTAATTTTAAGTATGAAAACTCGTCTCTACTTTGAACTTTCATGAAAGTGTGCCGATATGTAGTTTTTGCGTTTCTACGAACTCGAAACTGTTATCACTGAGTCCATCAAATCTTTTGGTATTCCTACACGATTTTTGTCGCCTCAATGTCTAGGAAATCTTGTTTGCACAATGGTGCAGTGTAGATCTCTCACACTCGTGCTTGACTCGAGCTATACCATAGGGTAAACAGAAAGTGCTACCGTACTGTCCCTTGGTGGCACGAATTAGTACCGGGTTATACCGCAAGTAAATAGATGGGACAGCAAACCCGGCACGTGAATTCCACGCGCGGATATGCAAATTCAACATGTGCATTTCCGTTCTCGCGAGTCGGCTAAAAACTGGGATAGTATTCAGTGAGTCATTTGATTATTTATCAGATTATCTGAAATGTAAGGCTGGCTTTTTACACTCGAGTACACCTAAAAGTGTGTATTTGCACAACATATGCACTTGCCAGATGAAAATTACAGTTATTATGGTGGAAAATTTTTATTGTATCGCCAGAAAATTTGTCGTAGAAGAGTGTCGTTGTATATCACCTCCCCTACAAACGTATGAGCCTATTCTATACAAATAGCTTGTGCAAATGCACATAGTATCAGCATCAGCTAAGGGCTCCAGCCATACGAAGACGCAAAAAATAGGGACGTGAACGCCGTAGCCACAGATCGCATAAAGCGCAAAGTTTACGAACGCGTCACGTTCTCGCCCGCTTAACCAATACTACTCCTGCGCCTTCGTCTGGCAGTGCCCTTCACGCATTCCCTCTCCTCGTCCCCCTTCCCTCCCTCGTCACTGACCTGCTCGGACTTCAACTACGCCATATATTCGCTCGTTATATTATCACTTGAGAACGCTCTAGAATTGAACAATTGAAGTTTTTGGGCTTATGAAACTTCTTTTAACGGGAACGTTATGGACATTTGGCCAGTATTATTGTCGAAAAATCTTAAATATTGAGCTGAATGTCTGTTTGTCGGTCTGTACCCTTTCAATCAGATTGGCTGCTGGAAGGCGGGGCTTCATGACCTAGGAGGCGACGCTTGCGTCCGCGCAGTCTGCGCCTCCCTCGCAAACATGCTCTCTGAGCTGCCTGTCTGTACGTATGTTCCGAATAGAAATTTTTATTTCTGAATTAACCGGACCAAACTTGGCACACCTATACTTCGCGACTGGGCGGATGTCGTAGGCTACTTTTCGTTATAGATCGGTATCGATTTCAACAATTTTTCTTCAATTTTTTGCATAGTTTCACCTACGAGGCTCTAAGCTGGCACAGGGGGAGGGAAGTAAGTGAGCGTGCTGATTATGAATACAACATTAGTTTTTGGAATTATCCATCACTTTCATCAATTTATCGATTTTTTTGCGAAGTTTAACCTACGGGGCCAGGAGTTGGCACAGGGGCAAATGAGCATGCAGATTGCGATTACAGCTTAGTTTTTGGAATTATCCATCACTTTTCACTCCATCTATTTTACCTAGTTTTTTTTTGTTGAAAAGTTTGACCTGCGGCGCTGGGAATTGGCTCAGGAGGGGGGGGGGGGTAAGAGGGCATGTTGATTGCGAAAGCATTATCGACAGAGCCGGACACAGCTAGCAATGCATATTATAACAAACAAATTCGTAATTCGTCCGGGTAATCGTTCTGTGAAGATTAGGTTGGCACACAAGCAATGCAACTTTTTATATAACTTTTGTCTTTTACATAGCGCATTCATTTTCTGGCAATATTAAAATTATCCTCCAAATGCGGAGATTTTTGCCGAATTTTGCCATTTTTTTGTAAGGGTTGAGGTAGTTGAGAAAAATTGTAGGCGTCAGATTCTGCTGAAACTTGGTCTGTGGGGGTTATTCGACATACTGACCACAAAAATGGCATCCATTTCGCTTGAAACGTTCTCCTTCGTAAGGTTGAGAAATATATCTTATCTTAGCGGCAAATGAATACGATATTCGTGTTTACCGACGGTATCCAATACGGTAATTTATTGCCCTCCAAACTTGACGCATTTGGCTTGTTCTAATTCTCAAATGCGCCTTATCTTGATTTGTCTCTGGATTACATTCCTTTTTTACTCATACCAAGTTCTCGCTATGTGCTGCCTATGACTCCTATTTGAAACGTCTGAATTCAGATTTTGTACGGCTTCATGTTTGCCAAACCGTGAAACCCTCGATTTTCATGAATTTCGAAAAATGTTAAATTTTTTTCTACTACATTATCATAAATCAAACGGTTTGCACAGACTTGCAGTTTACATCACACTTTACATGATGCCAGAGAATGAGAGTACTACTTCGAGTAAGAAAAAAGTTATGGGAAAAGTTGCAAAATTTATGTTTCAACCTAGTAGCGCCTTCTAAGGTGAAAATGCGACTCGTCAAACATGGTAAGTGGGGAATATATGTGTTTTCTTTGAGAAGCTACAGACAAAATTAGGGACACCTAGTACTGTTAGCAAGTCAATACTTAAATTTTCGCTTAAGCAATCAATGAAGTAAAAAGTTCGTTATTTTAAATTGATCAGCTACTTAATGGAGATGAGAAGTTTGCACTGGTATTGCAGGACAGTTTCATCAGTTCGTGCTGAGTGTCGTCTCTATCCAGCAGGCGCTTCAATAGTGGATTTTTTTTCTAATTCTTTGATTCTCATGTTTTTTTTTCTGACCATTATAGTAGCATTTGAAAACTATCACGGCTTTATTTCCACTTTCCTTGATGCTAGTCTCTCTTTGTCCTCCACTCACGTTTCTGATTATTCGTTGTAGTGTTTACGATCGACGGCGAGTCAACATTGTTGACGCTTTTAGGCTAATAACCTTAAAAAGTCGCAAGTAAACTAATCAAGTTTTGCTTAGAATTTCGCTAGAAACTGGATTACTTAGTAAGTATCAAGAGAGCCTTATATATAAATGTGAAGCGCTATCACACAAAATTCCTTTCGTCTTTAGCAAATTACTTTTCGATATATTTTACCCCCTTCCCCCCCCCCCTTCCCCTCCCTCCGCTCATCTTTTTCCTTTTTTACTTATCTTTTTTCATCATAAATTACCTCTCATGTAATTTCTGCTTGAAGTAGCAGAAGTGGCTAACTTCACGTGTTTTTGCTATAGTGGAAGCTTGCAAAGTCTACTTTACGCTTTACATATGACTACAATCGGCAATGGGGCGTAGTCTCCACGCAAATAAGCAGAAATTAGCGCTGAAGAAATTGTGCAAATTCTTGTCGTTGTTGATTGATACCACGAATTTGGTTAGGAAACAGCAGATTCGAATCTGAAACAGATTCCTAATTGCGGTAATGTTGTCATTCTTTCGTTTTTTTCTTCCATTCATCTCGACCGTTCTTTCACCATTTTGCAGGGCATGGGCTATGTTTATCCTAAAATCTTTGCCCACTTTTTTCTCACGTCTCGGTAAACTTCAAGGTCGCATGACCGTCACATTTTTTGTATAAATCCAACAGCTGTGCTTATCAGCCACATCACGGTACGTGCCGGGCTCAAACCTATTGTGTCCCGTGATGTCAATGAGGTTGTTTAATCTGATACCCCCCCCCCCTCTCCTCTCAAAACGAGCACCTTTGTGGCAGGAGTCTTTCCCAGTGGTGATTTAGCTTGCAATTGCGATGTTCTACTCTCAATGAAACAGTTCGCTTCAAGATGAAAAACCAAAGCCGCCTAACAGCGATCAACGCTTATTTTTGGTATGGATCTTCACTTCGATCTCCTCGCTCCACCCTTGCCGTCGTTGTCGGCTACCTTCTGTTTAATCTCAAAAAAATTGTTTAAAATGGTTGAAGTTTGTGCTAATAAGTTCGCAAAACGATTCGGATTTGTTTGTTTTTTCTCAAAAAAAAGGGCTCAATTTTGAAAAGACAGTTAACCATGTATAATCGCCATACAGACATTTCATCCAATAAAATACAGTAGATACAAAACTATTTGGTACTAAATGTATCTGTTTTTGATTTCGCGAAGCCCACTTTTCTCGTCCAAGAAATGAAGCGGAACTGTGATGAATTTTGAATGTTTCCTTTTGATTCAAACGCGTTTTCTAGCGAAAAGGCTGCAATATCTGTTAAAAACTCGGTGAAATTTGTTTTTTCCGAGGGCTCAGTCGCTGGGACTACAAGAAGTTGAGAACTTTCTAATAAGGTTTTTTTTCATATGTAAAAACATGGGTCTAGATCCTGGGTGACAAGAA